TCTAGTCTTTCTACTTCATTTCCTCCTACATACATACATACATACATACATACATACATACATACATACATACATACATGCATGCATGCATGCATGCATGCATGCATGCATGCATGCATGCATGCATACATACATACATACATACATACATACATACATACATACATACATACATACATACATACATACATACATACATACATACATACATACATACATACAGTTTCAGTTTAATTAATATAATTAAAGCCGTATCCGTATTTAATTGGATCAAACAGATTGTGTTGGCAAACGTGATGCCTAAATCAAGTTTTATCACTATGCATGAAAGGTAGATTTGAGTCTGTAAACATTCAAGTGATTTTAAAGCTTGGAATCTGACCAAAAATATTTAAAAATATTTGTCTTTTTGTATTTTGTAGTGAGATATATGGTAAACAATGCCGAGGTCATGATTGCCAACGTTGCATGTACCAATGGTGTGATTCATGTTATCAGTGACGTATTAATTCCACCCATGTCTTTCCCTTTGTCCTATAAAAAGTAGTTTTGCAGCCTTTTTTAATCATTCTTAATTTTTTATGCGTGATATCATGTAATTAAATTGTTAATAAAATAGTAATTTCTTGGTTGTTATTAAAATCTCACATGTCGTTCACAAACAATAATATATATTGCTTGTATAGTCTAAAATGATATGAGACAATCAAAAGAAAGCAATATCTCTGTCAGACCTACTATATCTGAAGATTAGTTTGTCCACAGATTAGTATTAAGAGAGAACAACCAGCGTAGAAATACATGCACTATACTAACTGTTACAGTATAGTGCACTTTGGTGTAAAGAACGTGATAGCGCACAAGACAGTTCACTACTGATTTCCATGATTTCTATTTGTTTCACTGCGATGCACAGTAATGAACATGGTGGAGCACCAGAATAAGTATTTTTATGGACTATAATGTACAAGATTGTACCATATGATAACCGATGTTGTGCACTGCTTTGTACAGGGCGATAACCACAGTGAACTTTGAAGTGCACTATAGATAAGAAAGCGAGAATAATATAGTGCGCTATTTTAAATAAGGCAATACACTTCTGAGAACGGGGTTCCGTCGCAAAGTGAAGAGTATAATTACACTGAATGAATACAGCACTATAATTTGCAATGAATAAATTGCCTTAAGATCGCCGAGTTTTATATATGTAGTTGTAAGAAAATACGGAGGATCATAATGTGTCTTTGTGTATCGTTTTCTCTAGTTCACAAGTAATGAAGATCACACTGTCGACGATGATGACGATAACAATGATGACACTTATTCATAAATGGTGATTTCATCAGATTTTAATAATTAAATATTAGGTAAGAATCATTTAGATTTCCCATTTTTTAACACTGTTGAACAGCCAAAAATCAGTGTTTTGGCTTGCATGACTTTTGTTTTCAAAGACGTTACAACAAGCAAATTTCTATATATCGAAAAAAGGAAACGGTGAATGAATGAACGTATGTTACTAATTACAGTTTTCTGCTATCGTTATATCCATTCTTCATGTACAGTTCACTCTTCTTCATTCTATAATTTAATGCCACCGCCCCCCACCCCCACCCGTGTGTGTGTGTGTCTCTCTCTGTCTGTCTCTCTCTCTCTCTCTCTCTCTCTCTCTCTCTCTCTCTCTCTCTCTCTCTCTCTCTCTCTCTCTCTCTCTCTCTCTCTCTCTCTCTCTCTCTCTCCTTGTCTTCTTTACACAAACATGTTCTAGTCGTTAACTTATTCAAGTCCACGATATTGCTTACCTTCGTTATAAAGTTTAATTTAATCATATATTTTCAACTTGTCCTTGATATATATATATATATATATATATATATATATATATATATATATATATATATATATATATATATATATATATATATATATATATATATATATATTGTGACTAATTGGCGGCGTTCAAAACACACAACCTCTTTCACTACGGTTCGTTGCTAGGGAATGATCTCCAAGGTGTAATTTGCCCAGTGTGGATAGATAGAAAGAAGAATGCAGATCACTGAACAAGTATATTGAAGAAATAAACACTACGAGCCCCATTTTAATGAATAAATATAAAATTTAATCAGTTTATCAACAGAATTTAAAATGAAAAGAAATCAATGACTTGGTTACAAAAGAAGGAAAATGGTACTAACATGTACTCAAATAAAAAGACAATACAAATTTCTTTAAACGCTAAAATTACTTTCCACGTTAATATACTATCTTCATAGCCAATGAGATGTGACCTTTGAGTGCAACGTTGAGAGACTTCATCACCTATTTTATGCGGACATCAAGACTTCCTTTCGTCCCTGCTCCGTCGATCTTTGTCTAGCTGTTTTGTCTTGGACTCTTGTCCGTCGAACTCTGACTTAACAATCGTCTCTGGACTTAGATTTCTGCGTAGAACTTGTTCTGGTCCTGTGATTGTTCAGGGATTTCTCATGTGAATCCAGGAAAGCTGTTTCCTTCAATAAATAAAATGTCTCGCAATAGACTATAGATCAAATTCCCAAGTATATTTATATTTTTACATTAATTCGGCTCAGAAAACAAAAGGCATAAATTCTGCCGCAGGAACGAGTTGCTCCCTAACTGTTATGTTTACATAAACGGTCAATGCTTGTCCTGACCTTAATTCGGGTCACGATAGGGATGGTTAATTAAATTCAACTCAGCCCTATGAACCCGTATGTAACCCCCACTCGACTGCTTACTCTACCAATCTAGCAGTCTTAAGTTACATATGGCTTAGACCCACAGATCTAACTATTCTAAAATAGTTTACTCGACAAATTAAATATTACAAACTAGCATATAGATATACACTTAAGTGATCAATTAAATATTACAAACTAGTATATGGTATACATGTAATGTTAGGTCATACTCATTCTAAACAGAGTTAATCCATAAACTATGAAACATTACCCATCATTCCTTAAGCTTAATTCATTTAAATTCCTAATCACTCCTATGTATTCAAGATTCAATTACATGCAATCTTTTCAACTAATCTAATGAAATTTTAATTACATTCAATCTTGCCAATTCTCCAAATGAATTGATAATTAGAAAATCAAAGAATAAAATGTTATGACTAGCATTTCACTAAAATCATACATACATACATCATATCAAGAATACATTTGAAATAGATCACCAAATGAAATAACATATTAAAATCGAGAAACTAAGATTGCGTACCTTTTGCCGTTTCTATATTTTCCACAAACCTCACGTATAGTCCGTCTCCTAACTGAGACAACTATCTGGCCCCTTACTCTATAATGAAAACGTACTTTTTACGAATTCAAAATGTAGAGTTTGCCTACTCGCTGAGACAAAACTCCCGCTTTACTGCCAAATCACGAGATAACGTCTTACACGCTCCCGGAATCGTTTAACTTTCCTCGCGAAAGATTAAAGACTAAAGAATTTTCCTAAGGTAAAACCTTTAATTTTGTTACAGAGTTACGCCCATAAATCCATATTAACCAATCGGAATAGACTGTTTCCTAAACCTGTTCCGTAGAATTTTTGGATTGACAAGACAACTAAACAACTAATCATGCCGTAATTAACATTACTTTGAACAATCATCTATAGCCAGCTGCCGCCCTTTACCCTGTCGATTTTGGAAAAGGGTCTTAGGTCATTCGCTTCTACCGTAGCATCTGACTTAGTCATGTTACGTCGGCTAGAACGAATTCCCTTTTGACGTTCAGAGATGAAATGAAAATAATCATCTAACTATCTCTAGCCCTTTCTACTTTAATTAAGTTGACTTTGATACAATTCCTTTAACCAACTCTTCTAAGAGTTTTCAAAATTCGACACATCACACACACTAAACATTAAACAATTAAACAATTACCAAAATATGAATAAATCTTTGATTACGTAATAAAGGCTCATTATACATCTTCATGTATATATTCACATAGAATCGGTTTATAGTGATACACTGGTTATCGACTGAACTAACTCTCCCGAGCACTTACGTCATGTATATTTTTACCAATAGTCTTTATGAATAGGCAATGATAGATAGATAGATAGATAGATAGATAGATAGATAGATAGATAGATAGATAGATAGATAGATAGATAGATAGATAGATAGATAGATAGATAGATAGATAGATAGATAGATAGATAGATGTGTGTGTGTGTGTGTGTGTGTGTGTATTAGTACTGACGCCCCAGATATGAATTTGACAAATCGAAAAGAAGACTGGAATATACTAAAATATTTTTAGAGCAACATATTCGAAAACAAGTAAGAAAACAAATCACTAGCCCAATTAAGACGTAGTCCAGCTAAAATAAAAAGTGAAATATTAAAGCAACTTACAGCATGGTAAATGAAATCCTAAATTGATCTATCACAAGTCCAAAAGTATAGAATAATCCAAATGTGTTTCATTGTTTTTCCGAAGGAAGTCAGTTTATTGTGCTGATGTGTAAGTAGTACTGACGTGCCGCAATAATATAATCCAAAATGTTATTGATAGAATTCATAGAAGTTACAAAGCAGCTACTAAATCATAAAGTGTGATTATAATTATTTCCGATGATTAATTAAAATAAATAAATTGAATCCTCTCAACTAAATATAACAAAATGACTCCACTAAGACCTATGTTTATGCACGGAATAATAAAATTCTGTTACTCATTACCTTACGTATAATAAATAAAAATAAGACGCTATAACGGAAACGTAGCTTTAATAATTTTTATTCAGTCATATCGCTACGATGTCTGCAATGTGGCAGTTTATAGTGACGTATAGCACTAGGGCATCACGCCGCAGACATGTAGCATAATGTTCCACCCAGTTACATTATCATGATACCAAACCGACCGACCAGTCTTAACACTAACCTCTTAAAACTGAGCACCAAGCAAGGCAGCTGTTGGTACCATTTTTGTAAGTCTTTGATATGACTCGACAGGGGATCTAACCCACGACCTCCAACATCCGAGGAGGACGCTCTAACCATTAAGCCACTGGAGCGGTTCAAAAATTGTGTAGATGTTCTTTTAGCACATTTGTCAAGTTCAGCGTAACATGTAACAATCAACTTTGACGTATTGGCTAGACTCGCAAAAAATCGCCATCCTGCGTTGGTTTACCTTCCTTGCTTGATTGATTGTTAATTGGGACCTACTAATATAAGAGTCCTTTAGACACGTTAACTCGGGTTAAGTAGAGAAAAATGTATAGTAAAGACAATGCAAATACAATTTAAACAAGTGATCAGAAAAAGCTGAGAAAGAATGATTTGTTTTAAAACCATGTGATAATAAAAATTTGAGACCCTAAAATCGTGAATGTTACAATGGATACAGACTAAAGCTTTCAACATCATTGCATATAGTTGTTGTCAAATAGTTTTAATTTTCCAACTTTCATAGTTATCCTTCACATACTAGCTCACTGTTATATTGCACGTCGTAGCTTACTGTTATCCTTCACATTATAGCGTACTGTTGTCTTTCACATCACATCTTACTGTTATCTTTCACATCACATCTTACTGTTATCCGTCACATTATAGCTTACTGTTGTCTTTCACATCACATCTTACTGTTATCTTTCACATCACAGCTTACTGTTATCCTTCACATTATAGCTTACGGTTATCTTTCACATCACATTTATCTTTCACATCACAGTTTAATGTTATCATTTTAGCTTCTTCTTCAGTCTAGCCTAGTTTGAAGTGGTAAAGGTCCTATAGGTTTGTACCCTAAAATCAATCGAAATACCCTCTGCCGTTTCCGTTAATGAACGAAAATGCAAAAGCCTAGATGTCTTCCAATTAAAATAAAGTCCATCTACGATAATTTGTGTAGAGATTGGTGTATATGTAGATCACATAGTCCATAATGGTGCACGGTTAATATGAATTGGGTTCTTCAGTTCATTACCTAAAACTGTTTACGTATAAACAAATTGCTTTTTCCGTGGAACACGATGAAAAGGAAAATAAAGTCTTATATTAGGCTGATGAAATACCAGCTAATCTAATAAAGATGGAAACTTGGTTGGTTTATCGGTGAAGGTTTTACTTTAGTCTTATTCTAACTAGAATTGTTACCGAGCAAATTTGGTTCGAAGACAGTGGTGACCCGATGAATACAGCTTCCTACGGGTAGGCTTATAATCTCCATGCTAATAGCAACAATACACGTGTTTGATATTTGGGGCCTATTCCATCTAAGAATACTGCTTGGTTTTAAATCTTGTCTTTTGAAATGTACACTTAAAACAGCCATCAAATCATGCACTGTAGCTTATCGCAGCAGATGGCAGTCGCGTAATGAAAGCAGATCAGACGGCCACTTATGGCATCCTCCGCATGGTGTTCCGAATCCTCTTCCACAAACAACTAATAAACATTCCTGAGAAAGTCATGAAACCGGAATTCATCGATTTTTTTTCTCAACAATGGAAACAGTCGATTCGACTTAACCCTAACATATGTTAAACAAATACCCCGACCATTCATCCTCAATAATGATGAATAATCGATGTTATCTGTCAGTAATCACTCGAGATCTATTAATCATTTCATTTATTAATCTCTTGTCGATAGGCTGATCATTCATTCAATCAATCAGTTTAACAGTATATATTATTCACTAATCAATAAGAATGTCTTTTAAATGTTTAATAACAAATAAACCAAGACAAGCATTTTGGATAGAGACATATCAATTAAAAGCATTGCCCCAGTTGCTTCAAATATCAAATTCTGTTACATTTTTCCGATGTAAACTTTAAAAAAAAGAAAATTTAAAAATGCAATGTTCATTGCAAGGCTGTCTTTGCGCATGTCGGTTCCCAAATATCCATATATATATATATATATATATATATATATATATATATATATATATATATATATATATATATATATATATATATATATATATATATATATATATATATATATATATATATATATAACTATGAAATTGTGGGTATTCATAGCAAATATATTATAATCGATCATATAATTGTCGAGCTTATTTTTTATACATTTTAGTATTGCTGGCATGTCAATTTTCAGCAAAATATCAAAATGCTACAAATATATTCATTGCAATTTCTGTTTGGTATCCTTTTCTACTGATACTGCTACCACCATTACTACTATTGATGGCTCGAATGATACAGTTAGTACCACAGCAGACGTGTTTTTGTCCGGGTCTGCAACATTAATTTAGCTTGGATCAACTTTAATTAATTTAACTCAGTCAGCTTCAAGTAATGATCATTTTTTTAGCCAATTAATCAATCGGTTGCAGTAATTAATGCTAACTTTTTAAAGTTAATCAGTCAATACGTTATAGTAAGTAATGCCAATTTTTCAGACTATCAATCAACGGGTTGCAGTAACTAATGCCAATTTTTCAACCAATCAATCAACGGGTTGTAGTAACTAATGTCAATTTTTCAGCCAATCAATCAATGGGTTGTAAACTTTACATGAATTCTAGACTTTAGTTTCATTGATGTAATAGAGACTTTGTCCGCATTTAATCAGTGGAACTGAGAGCACGGTATGCCTAGGTTTAGAATCAAGCAACTTGAGTTGGCCAACTTTTAAGTTTTAACCACATTTGACTATTATCTTTTAAAAGTGGGTTTATGTCGTGAACATATTTGTAACGTTATGTAATGGTACCTGACATTATCTAATCTTTAATAAATATATCTAATTAAAGAATGTTTTGTATTTCGTAGTGAGAGTCATGGTAAACAATGCAGAGATCATGATTGCTGTCGTTACCTGTACCAACACTTTATATTTCACGTTATTAGTAACATATTGGTTCCGCCCATGACGTGCCTTTCATCATATAAAAAGTAGTCTGTCAGCCTTTTTACATTAATTTTTGTTTTTATAGACGAGTTTTCATGCAAATAAATTGTGAATAGAATATAAATTTCTTGCTTATTATTAATTTCAGGTACACTTAATGTTTGTAATTGTCTGGAATGAATATATACGATCTAAAGAAATATAAATAACATTCTGTTTTTTTTCTCTCTCTCCCTCTCTCTCTCTCTCTCTCTCTCACACACACGCACTCACACACGCACACACACGCAACACACACATACGCATTCTCACACTTACACAACCACTCACACACACCCACACATTCACACACACATGCGCATACAGACACACACATACACACAGCTACACGACTGTCGTGTAATAAGTCTGATACTCCAGTACATATAGCTTTATTATAAAACAGCATTTTAACTTTTTCCTAAATGTTTCTCATCGATTTAGTCCACACACAAAATGTGATATATAAATAACCAGATACGAGTAATAATATAGCAAACGGATATGATTTTGTTTAATTAAATATTACAATAGGACTATACATTTGTTAACAGTATTTTGTTCCATATATGTAATTTAGTTACTTGTGTGTTAGTTTTAAATTCTTTTTTATTTTATTTCTTTTTCATTACATGTTAATGTAACGATAACTTTATTCACTGGAATTGACATTTTTCAAGAAAATTCAGTTTAGAACTTTCTAGCTGAAAAAAAACTCAGTAGTGTTGCTACACTGTGTTTTAGCTAATTTAGTTCCTGACCTGGATTCAGAATTGGTAAACACAGAGTCAAAATCATTGGTCATAATCAAGGTCATACTTGGCCTGCGTGTTAGTTTGAGTAAACAACATTTTTTTAAAATTCATTTCCAATATGGGAATCGTTGATTTTTAGCTAAGGCTATACTAGAGAGCGTGATAATTGACGTGTAGTTTTTTTTGCGCCACTCGAACTAAGTGATCATGTGACCCAATCAGGTGGATCTGAATTACGTTTTAGCTGGGGCTAAAACTGAAGTTTTATAGTGAATAGTCAGTCGTAAATTGATACCTTAAGAGCTCAAAGGTATTTTGTATTGTGACCAGTTCGAGTTAAAAATTTTTATTTAAAATAATTTATTCACCGTGGAAAAAACACCTGTGTTCCTCAAAATTCTTGGACTAAGACATTTATTGGAAATTATTCTAATTTCGAAAGCCGGAATATGATTTTTAGTGATTTAATAAGGAACTATTGATACGACAACACAGAGCTGGTTGTAGAAGACGTCATTGCCTTTCAAATTGGAACTTTATCAGGATTCGAACTTTGATTCTCTTAGAACATTTTAGTGAGAGGACTTATATTTTTAAACTTCAGAATTAGTTTTTGGATTAGATTCACAAGCAGTAAGTCTTTTTTCATATTTTTACCTTGTTTTCATGAGAAATAAATTAATTTTGTTAAATTTTACAAAGCTTGTTGTCTTCATTCTTTTCTTTGTTAATTTGTAGGAGCCTAGACTCGTAACAAGTTTAGAAGACTGAAATTTTACGATCATGTAGGTTGTACACACAACAATAAACACGACTTAAAATAAACTGTGACAATCAGCATTCGCGTTTCATGCTCAGAAGAAAACGACTTGGTGAACATAGGAAGTGTATTCATGTATTTATTTAAAGTCACCAGATTTATGCTTAAGATTCCGGGATGACGATGTAGTTAGATGAAACTTAATGAGTTGACAAGAGGGTGTGTTTGTTGCGCATGAAGTGCTACACCTCTGACTTTGTAGCTATGTTAGGGTGATGTGTTCTTGGTCTAGATAGCATTAGGTATGTTACTTACATTCACTACGATGGGTGCTAAACTCGTGGACCCGTAATCGAATCTCCATAGAGCAGAAAAATAAAATTCTCAAATCTGTATAATAATATTATTTATTTTTTATTTTAAAATTGTGTAATATTAGTAAACATTCTCCTGTAGCATGCATGGAGTGAACTGCTTGGCGTATATTTGCTTGATTTAAGGACATCGTCTTTGTGAATATTACAACCAAAGACTATGAAAATGATTATTGCAGAATGTGAGAGTCAAAATATTTCCGTGTCAGACAGTGCTTGCAAATCTTGACAGTAATAACATGTTTACCTTTACA